GATGCTGCTGCTAACCTCCCTGCTGCTCCTACTGCTGCTGCTCTTGCTGCTGCTCTTGCTGCTGCTACTGCTCGTGCTCCTACTGCTGCTGCTGCTGCTGCTGCTGCTGCTGCTGCTGCTGCTGCTACCTACCGCCTTCGAAGCTTGTTCGCCGCACTGGGGTGTCTGTTGAGCCCAAAAATCTGTCTCGGACATCAGGGGCAGCAGCAGCCAAAGAAGGGTCGTGCTGCTGCTGCTGCTGCTGCTGCTGCTGCTGCTGCTGTGGCTGCTGCTGCTGAGGAACGTCACTGAAGGGCCCTCCCCGCTGCTGCGGATGGTGCAGCAAGCGCTGCTGCTGGTCTTGCTGCTGCTGCTGCTGCTGCTGCTGCGGCAGTTGCTGCTGCCTACCCACCGGCTGCTGCTTGGGGGGCGGCAAGGGCGGCATATCAAGAAAGTGCTGCTGCTGCTGCTGCTGCTGCTGCTGCTGCGGCGGCGGCAGCAGCGTCGGGCTGCCGCGTGGCCTCTGAGTTGGTATGTGGGACTCGCTGCTGCTCATGCTGCTGAGGGGAGGCTTCCCTGCTGCTGCTGCTGCTGCTGCTGCTGCACTGGGCCCATCATGCAATTCTGCGCAGCACAAGCAGCAGCAGCAGCTCAAAACAAACTGATGTTGCTTCAGCAGCAGCAGCAGCAGCAACAGAGACACAAGCAGCTGCAGCAGCAAGCTCGCAACGGCGCCAAAAGCAGCAGCACCGCCCGCCGCCACACCCGCAGCAGCAGCAGCAGCAGCAGCAGCAGCAGCAGCAGCAGCAGACCCGTGGAGCCCTGAAGAGACAGTCTTGGAGACACCATGTCGAAGAGATCTTGAGCAGCAACAGCAAGGCTGCTGCTGCCGTCCTGCTGCTGCTGCGAGCGAGACATAAACTCCGGCAAGTCCATTTCGGGGCCCTGCAAATGCATGCAGCCACAAGCCCGCGCATGCAGCAGCAGCAGCAGCAGCAGCAGCAGCAGCAGGAGCAGCAGCAGCAGCAGCAGCAGCAGCAGCAGCGGTAGCAGCAGCAGCAGCACGGACAACGGACCGGCTGGCCCCCGCTCATGGACATGTGCCTGCAGCAAAGACAGGGAAGACGCAGCAGCAAACAAGGGCACTAATACTATTGCTTCAGCTGCTGCTGCTGTAGCTGCTGCTGCTGCTGCTGCTGCTGCTGCTGCTGCTGCAGCTGCTGCTGCTGCTGCTGCTGCTGCTGACTCACTTTAAGATCTGAGCCATGAAGAGGGCAAAGCGCGACTGCGCCTCCACTGCTTCCGACAGCTGCTGCGCCTGGCTGAGGAGCTGCTGCTGCTGCTGCTGCAGCTGCTGCTGCTGCTGCTCTAGGAAGTGCGTCAGCCGCTGCTGCAGCTGCTGCAGCACATCCGAGTCCTGGCCCGCAGTTTGGTTTGCAGTCTGCCCCACAGAAGCATGCATGCAAACCCTGTTGTACATACACCCTGCCCTGCTGCTGCTGCTGCTGCTGCTGCTGCTGCAGCTGCTGCTGCAGCAGCAGCTGCTGCAGCTGCTGCTGCTGCTGCAGCTGCTGTATCTGGTACAGCTGCTGTATCTGCTACTGCGACAGCTGCTGCTGAGGCTGCTGCTGCTGCTGCAGCTCGTGGATTTGCTACTGCTGCAGCAGCAGCTGCTGCTGCTGTTGCTGCTGCTGCTGCTGCTTACCCTGCTGCTGGGGGTGCCGCTGCTGCCTGCTGCAGCAGCCTGACACAGCAGCGAAGCCTTCTTGGCATTCACAAAGAGAGACTGCATCTGCGGCTGCTTCAGCAGGGACTGCAGCGCAGCAGCAGCTGCTGCTTCCTGCTGCTGCGTGCTGCTGCTGCTGCTGCTGCCCCACAGCGGAAAGAACCGGCCGAACAGCAGCCGGCTTGTCAGCTGAAAGGAGACACCAGCAGCAGCAAAGAGACACATAAGCTCGGCAGCAGCAAACTGGTAGAAGACAAAGCACAGCAGCAGAAGAAGCAGCAGCAGCAGCAGGGGCGATAGCAGCAGCAGCAGCAGCAATAGCGGCAAAAGCAGCAGCAGCAGCAATGGCAGAAGCAGCAGCATCAAAATCAGTAAAACGGGCAGCAGCAGCAGCAGCAAAAGAAGCAGCAGCAGCAGCGGTAGAAAAAGCAGCAGCAGCAGCAGCAGCAGCAGCAGCAGCAGACCAGCAGTGCGATGCAAGTGATGCCGATGAGCCAAAGAATCGGGTAGCTGCTGAGAGCCTCCTCGTTTGCTGCTGCCACAGCAGCAGCAGCAGCAGCAAGAACTCGATGCACAGTTTCTGCTGTTCCAGCAACTGCAGCAGCAGCAGCGCAGCAGCAGCGCAGCAGCAGCAAACGAACAAGGCCAGTTGGCAACAGCAGCGAAAGCCCGCAAGCCAGCAGCAACAGCAGCAGCAGCAGCAGCAGCAGCTGCTGCTGCTGCTGCTGCAGCAAATGCATGCATAGTAAAGCAAAAAGCCCCAAAATGCAATTTTTGCATTTTTGCAAAAATGCA